TTTTTCTATTTCCTTCTAGAAATGGCGCTCGACACCGGCGGCGGCGGTGCAGGCGCAGCCGGCCTGGCTGCTCCGGGTTCCGGTCCGGGCGGAGGCGGCATTCCTGGTAGCCTGATCGGCGGCGGCGGCGGACTCATGATCTCCAGCGGCGTCATAGGCCCTTCCGTGGCGGCCGAAGGAGAGCCTCCGACTGCCATGGACCAAGGCGGAGTCGGCGATGGTATTCTTTGACTTCTCTTAGATCGCAGGAGGCGTTCCAGCAACAAATCATGCACGTAAGGATAAAGTAAAATCATGGATAAAAATTTGTTAATTTAATTAATTGATACATCAATCCCCGTACCAGTAATAGTTTTTTTTTTAATTTCAATAAGTATTACAACTGTTAAATTATTAACATCAAGTAATATTGATAATAATAACATAAATTTAAATAAATAAAAATGCGAAGGATAAAATTTACATGAAAATAATATCCGTAATATGATTTAATATAAATATAAGCAAATAATAATAAAATAAAACTAATAATAATATAAATAAAATTTCTGAATAATAAAATAATACTAGAAAAATAATAAAATATAACAACCAGTACCAGTAGGTATCTAATTTTACCATGCATCTATTTATGCAAAACCAAGAAAATCCAATTCCCACCAATTAGGTTCGGATAATAGAACCGCTGCTGTAATTTCTTAATAATTATTAATTTACTAGCTTGACTCTTCAAACTTTGTTTGGCTAAGTAAGGTATTTTCTAAACCATTTCTAGAGAATCAAAAATATTAATACTTTTAGTATATAAGGATGTGTTGTTTGAATGCTATATATACAATGAAGTATTTTAAAAACAATAAACCCCATTAGTTTGTCTATAGTTTGCCAATACAATCAAACTGGAAGTTTTATATACTTTCTATAGAAAACATGGTATAATCCAATCCAAGTCTTTTTGGTCTTCCGACTTACTGATCACGATACAAATTTTTCAGATTTTTTTTTGGATTCTAGATTTTGTGTATAATTGTAAAAAATACTACTGAGCCTATAAAAAATTTTCCAATTTCTGCGAGGAGAGATAGAAAATGAATTAAGTATTTTGTCTTGGACCTGCTTTTTGAACAGTTTCAAGTAACATTCGATGAATTAAAGTAAATTTAATAAAAAGTATATATATAGAGCAGGGCGAGGCACAAAGGTCCAATTTGACTTTGAGCAAATATAAACTCTATTGTGAAAACTAAACCAACAAATAACACATTTCAAACGAAGAATTATCTGACTGCGTTCAGTAAAACTGCCAGCTACTTCATCATTCAGTAAAACTGCCAGCTTCATCATTGTTTTTTTTGTCTTTCAAAAATTTGTTATCTAGATCTTTTTACCCCATAGACGGGGTAACTTGGAACGGCCAGGTGTCAAACAGGTTCAATGTCTTATTTTAATTTTAAAGGTATTTCACAAAATAATTACACTCTTAACTAATGCTAAAAAACTACCAACGGAAGAAAATACTTTTATTATGGATTTCCAAAGATTACTGTTTATCTCCTGATAGCAAAGTCATAAGAATCAAGGTTATAGCTGGGTCTACATATTTTTTCCTCTACTTTCAAATATTGTTGTTAAAGAATGCTTAACTTTACTGGTTTTTGACACATTGTTGGTGGATCTTTTTAACCCCGGGCCTTCATATATTACTATTTATTTTCAATAAATTCTGGAAAATTATAACTGGCAAAATGTTATTGGACAAAATGTCCCTTTGATCGATTCCAAATTTAGGTTCTGAATTTAAATAACATAAAAAAAAATAATATAACCTAAAAATGTATTATAAATACCAATGAGTATATAATTATTTATACAAATGAGATCTTTCAGAGCACCGTATTTGAGAAAAATATGATTTACAAAAAAGAGTGCTACGCCATAAAATGCATTTTCATATTAACATTTCAAAAAAGTTGATATTTTGCGTTTCTAATAACATTTGCGGGCCGTTTAATAACGTTTTTGTGTAAAAATAAAACTACAAACAAAACTGCTTACTACAATTTAATCATAATTAAATAATATTCACGTAAAACATCCCATTAAACGTAATTGAACATAATCTGTCAAAAACGTTTGACATTTGACGTATTAGCCACCGTCCATTGTTTTATTCAAATTACGCTTCTACAAAAATGTTCAAATTAAAAATGTAAAGTTTCTACGCGATTTTGAAATAATATCTCACCTTTCCGACAACCTACTGATTAGCACGAATTTTTCGAGACTAAGACTGACCAAATCGGTTTAGCCGTTTTCGAGTTTTAGCGGATCATTTTATCGACGGCTTCATTTTTATATATAAGATTCACTCTACTAGGTAACATCTAATTTGTCTTTTCCACTTTTCAGTTAAAAATGCAAACCCAACTACAGCAGCAAAAACTATTAGAAGATTTCCAAGTGCGACAGCAACAAATCAATGAAGAGTACGAGCACAGGCTCAAACTGCACCTCAAGGTATGTCAGGTAATTAAAGGAACAAGTGTTGAAACGAAATTTACACAATTCGATATAGTTGAAATTGGATAAATGTAAATTAATATTTCTTCAAAAGTCAAAACAAATATTCACTTAGACATATTAATTTTATCGAAATTCTTCTTATAGGAATTGTGGGAGCAGCAGCAAGCCCAGCAGGCTCGTGAAAGACAAATAGAACAGATGCAACTGCGTCAGCAACGTCAGCAGAAGCATAATGACCAGCAAAGTCATGGCCTTAAGGCCACTTGCCCTAATAGGTAATAATAATAGGAATTTGGCCATCTAGTATTCTGTATATGAGGAGTCGAAAAATTTGTTACAAACTTCCCGAAAGAAAAGTTTGTGTTCTCATCAAAAAATGCGATTCGCTAATTTGATGTTTTCTCGACGTTTCAAGCCATTCTGAATCGAGTGAGACCAAATTTGGAAAATGTATGTGTGTGTGTGTGTGCGTGTATGTGAACAGATTTTTTGCCGTAAATCGACGTTTTCTCAAAAACGGCGGGACCGATTTCAAAAATTTAAAAGCCATTCGATGCATCTCGATGAGGACTAACGTTTTGTGTGACGATCGGCCGAGCCGTTTCTTTCCAAATAACAGGAAAGTGAATAATTTTTCGTCCACGTTTTAGCCCGCAATACTGAATCGATTTTGAAAATTCAAAAACCGTTCGAAAGATATTGGTTGGGAATCGACCTAATTAGTTTTTGGTAAAGATCGGCCGAACCGTTTTCTTGTAATAAAGTGTTAAACAAAATTTTTTCGACGATTTTTATGATCTTTTTATGGTAATTACCTTATAGATACTAAAATATTACTGCTCTACGAAAAGTCGTTTAATTTAAAATTTTAAAAATTCTTCAAAGTTTGCAAAAATTAGTATCTTAGTTTTCTTGGCGTTTGTCAAAATTAGACCTTCCATCGACGTTTGCTCAACAACGCCTGAACCAATTTCAGAAATTTAAAAGCCATTTCATGTATCTCAATGAGGACTAACGTTTGTCAGTTTTGTGCGACGATCTGCCAAGCCGTTTCTTTGTCATTTAGGAAAAAGAATTCACTTCCTACTTCAAATACTTTTAAATTATATTATAAACTAGATGACCCAACATACGTCTAATCATAATTGTTCCAATTTATTGTTTTTCAAAAAATTATGTTTTTTCACACTACAATCAATACCGAAATGTATATACAACCACCCATATGGATCTTATATGCACAACTGCTTTTAATATAATGATGAGCATTTGCTTTTTTGAAAAACATTATAAAACATTTTTTTCTTATTAGTTCTTTTATTGATATCCGACGTTATTTTGAAAAAATATGGAATTACACCACTGAGAGGCATGTCATCCCCCCGGGAAATGGCAAAGGAGTCTAAATTATTTTTACTTTTGAACTTGAGATTAAGATAAACATAATTTCAAAATTTCATACCAATTGGAGCACAGTAAAAATTCAGACCCAAAACGCTTCATTGACTTGAGTAAATATATTCCGTATCCGATGGCAAAAATTTGAAAATACTAACGTTTGTATGTGAGAAAGAAAAGGTCTGTTTTTAGGGTTTTCCCGGCAATTATTCTATTTTTTCTCGCCGTAAGAACCATCCTTGAACATCAACGAACATTTTAAAAAAAGAATTGGCCAAATTGGTCCAGGCGTTGTTGAGTTATACGCTTACCAACACACTTTACGATTCATTTTTATATTATAGATAGATTATACTATAAATTAATTTGTTTTTTATTGATTAAGTCAATTATTACACATATCGGGAAGTTCATGTAACTTGCCTCAATGCAAAATACCAATACCAATTAGTATATAGAACATGAAACAACTTTAGAGCCAGCAAAGATTTTTTGCTGCCATCTAACGACAGATATAAATATTATGTTTTGTCCAGTCTGATAATTTATTTAGTGAAAAACTTGTTATATCCACACCGTATCTCAGATAATCCCAATTCGTGGGATGGTCCACTTTTGTTACCAACTTTTTTATATTTATTTAGCATTATATAAATTTCCATATCTCAGACGTGCAGAAGTGCCTGGTATAAGAGATTATGGATAAACTTTTCATATATAGTCATGGCTAATGATTTTATGTTTTTTCCCAGTGGTTCAACAAGTTCCTTAACTGGAATAAGCAGTGGTAGTACAAATTCAAATAATGCAGCCAGCAGTGAAGTTAAACAGAAACTGCAGGTATTCCTGATGAAAAAACGCGAGCAGGCTCGTGAAATGACCAATGGTTCTGTAAGTCAAACTTCTGGTGGATCTGGAGCAGCAAACTATCGTAACTGGTGAGTTACAAACAGCAACAATAAATACTTCCTAGGATCAAGTGATTTTTATCATTATTTCTTTCCCCAGGGGAGTGGTAAAAAGCTCATCTGGTGAAAGTTTGGGTTCAGGTCCATGCCAGTCGACGCATCCTTACCGACTTCCTGGTTCTGCACACAGTAGTACCAATAGTGGAAGTATGATCTCAACTTCTAACTCGAATTCAAGTCTTAATCATATCTCGTGCAGGAGTCAACAGTCTCCGACGCAGGCAGGTCCAGGATCGGGAGACTTCCCTTTGAGGAAAACAGGTCAGTAGAAACAGATAGTAAAATTATTAGAGATAAGAAGAATTTTTTTGATCAAAAGTAAGAACTCAAACCCATAACTGTTTCAGCTAAAAGTTTTTTGTTTTAATTTTGAGTTTTTAATTTATTCTACAAAATAGATAATAATAAATAATAATAAAATAAATTACATTTAATTTCTTTAAGAACGTTTGTAATTTTTTATTTCTTTTATCTTTTAATTTTAATAATGTATAAAGCATGGTATTATAAACGTGATTGCATTAGCTTAGATGTTTAAAATTACTAAAATATTATATTTTGTTGTACTAAACTAAAAATGCACAAAGATTGATGTGTAATATTATATATGAATTGTAATTTTGTTTTGTTCCGAGCATGCATCTAATCTTCTGCAAGAACGCTAATAATTTATTAAATTTAATTGTTTGAAAAAATGAAATTATTAAAATTAAAAATATATTATGGTTATATAGATCACGATTCGTCGTTTTAATTTTTTTTACTTTATATTGCTCTTACAATTTTATTATTTAACTTTGAAAATAGACGTTCACTTTTTTAAATATTCTAAATATATCATGATTTTAATTAGTTCTGTTTTTAATAGATCATTTACAAAAATACGATCCCGATATTCCTATTTTCAAAAGATTCACATATTTATTTTCAACAGAGCATTCAAAAAAATAACATTCAGATTTTTTCTTTACTTTTCTCATACTTTCTTATATTATTTATAATCGAAGAACGTAGCATCCGATTAGATTGATTCAAAAAATATTCGAATGGTATTGAAGGGAAGATCTGCTATTTAGTTTTCTGCAAAGGCAGGTTCAATCGTGTTGGAGATATGCGAGAAAAAGTACAAAGAATACTTTTTGAGAAAAACGATCGTTTTTATCGAATGGCTTTTAAGTTTTTGAAACCGATTCAGCAGTTTTTGAGAAAATCTCGATGAAAGGTCAAAAATAGGCTCACATACACACGATTCACAATGTTTTGAAACGCCGAGAAAACATAAAATTAGTAAATCGGACTTTCTGATGAAAACTGAAAACTTCATCTTCGGGAAGTTAAAAAATATATTTGTAATAAAATAAGAGGACGTCCATTAATCACGCGATCGATTTTTTAAGGATTTTTTGACCGCCCTCCCCTTTGGTGATATTCAAAATAACCCTCCCCCCTCTCCCCGCCAAACATCACATGTATTTTTAGTTACGAGGAAAAATTGTAATTTTTTTAAAAAAAATTTTTGGAAATATTTGGATTTTTTTTTTAAAAAATAGGTAAAAGATAAATACACGTGTCAACTTACTTACCCCTCCCTCCCCCAAGTGATATTTCGTGATTTTTTATCAAACCCCCCTTTCTCTAAAAACCTCACGTGATTAATGGACGCTCCCTGATGTCTCTGTTCTCAAAAATTTCATTTTTTTTGGTTTTCGAAAAATTTTAAAGCTTTTTTGAAAATTAAAATTTTTGGTGCAGGAAGTTCTATCAATTTGCCTTGAGGCACTTACTTACACACACACATACATACACACATTTACAACTAGGACGAAAGTTTAATTGCGACGAGTGGGAATAATAGTATTCTAGAGCCTCTCCTCACGAAGCAGTGCGTGACGGCGGTTTTCGTGGGGATAAGATGTGAAAACATAAACTTCTCCTTCGGGAAGTTCATAAAATACATTTGTTGTAATATATATTCAATCTATAGATTGATCTTCATAAATACAATAAATTTATTAATAAACAGTTAAAAGTCTGTAATTAGTTTTTACTATTTTTGGGAAAAATTGTCATAATAATAAATAATAATTCGTTTCGAGGCACTTACTTACGCACACACACACACACATACACACATTTACAATTAGGACGAAAGTTTAATTGCGACGAGTGGGAATAATAGAATTCTAGAGTCTCCCACCATAAAACGTGAAAACATAAACCTCTTCTTCGAGATGTTAATAAAATATAATATAATTTATATTTAATCTATTAATGGTCTCTGCAAATATAATAAATTTATCAACAAACAGTTAAATTCGTTTTCACTATTTGATACGATTTTTGAGAAAAATTGTCTAAGTAAAAAGTATTAACAAAGGATGAGAAACTTAAAAATCGAGACAATTAAAAATATTTTAATCTCATTTTTCTGTTTTCTCTATTTAAAATAGAAGTACATACTACATTCAAAACACAAATCCAAGAAAAAAAAGTAATAACAAAATCGAAAATTAAAAATCGTTAAGGGCAAATAAAAATATTAAGATATTTATTATTCTTCTGATATTATCCTTCTTATTTTTCTGATTCCTCTACTTGAAATAGATGCACATACTACATTCAAAACACAAATCCAAGAAAAAAAAACTTTTTAAATACAAATATAGTAATTTATCAAAATTCTTAGTTTTTTTTTCATATATATCAACTTCGAATTCTGCACGGTTTGTCTACAGGCAAACTGGAAAATCTCGAGAAAATTATATGAACACACATAACGATTTATATATCACTTTATTCGTAATTTTATTCTGCAACAAAGTTTTTTCGTATCTTTTGCGGTTTAGCTAGTAGAGAGCAATCTGTGTGAATATTCACTTGTTAAAATGCAAAGTATGATTAGGTTCCAGCACCTATCCACATGATTCGATATTTCTGTAAAGAAAACATATAAAGTATTATACATCGTTAGAAAGGCCTCAAAATTGTTAGTTCTTTTCCCATATATTGAACTTCGAAATTCACACGGTGTGGCCTAAAGGCGAGTTGCAATTGAAAAATTCAAGGAGGAAAATCTCGAGAAAATCATAAACTTAAAAAATTATAAAACTTAAAGAAAATTTTGAACTTAACGATTCAAATATCATTTTATTCTCAATTTTATTTTGCATCAAATTATGTCAATCTTAGTTTCTTATAATAATTATCTAAAATAATACCTCTAATAATAGTATTATTTACCTGCTTTTATAATCTTGCCTGTGTTTGTATTAACTAAAACTTTGCAAATGTTTGTTGTGATGCATTGGGCGTGCAGCGAGCGAGCCGAATCTTCTTAAGGTTCGCCTGAAGCAGCGCGTTATAGAGCGAAGGGCCGGACCCATGTCGACCCATCTGCAGGCCAGGGCCAGGCACGAGAGGCTGCTGGCGGGCATCAGGCACCGAAAGAATCCGGCGCTGGCAAGTACGTGTTTGAGAGAGAGATAGAGAGAGAAATCATCACATAGAGAAATTTATCATTGAAACAGAAAATTTAGATTTTAACCCTTTCCACTCGCGAATTGCGAGATTAATATAGATTTTGCCGTCGAAGCGGCGGGCATTCGAGTGGAAAAGGTTTAATGTAAAGTTCTCATATCTAAGTACAATGTTGCCGTTGTAACACATAGGTTTTGATGCGCGATTAATCTATTTTAACAAACTACTGCCTCTGCAGTAATTCATATGCAATCAGTAAAAAAATACAAGCTAAGTACGCATTAATAGTTAGTTTACTCAAGCATCAAAAATATTTGTCGTATGTTTTTAGCGTCAACTAACTATATTAACATCAGCTAACAATAACAAAAGCACGTCGTTATATCCTCATCAGTGTTGTGTGTGATTGTGTGAAATAATCCTTTTTAAATTGTTTAAATATTTTTTACTACAATATGTAGTTTATAATTTGTGTTGTTTTAGAAAGATATATATTTTATCTATTTATTATGTGTTTGCAGATTGTGCCATAAATAATAGCCCAGAGTCGGGGCCTAATTCGCCACCAGCCCTTGCCAGTAGAGGGTCACCGACAAGTGCACCTATACAAGAGGTAAGACGAATTTATATATATATATATATATATATATACTAGATGACCCGACAGGCGTTGTCTTGTACTCACCTCTACAGTTTTTTTAATATCCTATACTAATATTTACCATTTACCTAAAAATACTAAATATTGTTTTTTAAATTATGAGCGATGTTAAATGTAGAACTGCTTTTAATTAAAATGAGTCTCAATTACCACACTATATTGGAAATTGGAGTCTTTTAAACAGTATAAAAAATTCAGAGAAAATTAATATGTAGTGCCCACAGTAAAAATACAAAACTACCTTGGATTTTTGCACCCAAAACAATTGCTCCAATAATGTTGCCTATAATTTTTATAATCCCGTATCATATTTTAACTAGTTGTTAGTAATTATAATATCTAAATCATATTCTTGTTAGTAATAATTTAATATATATTATTATCAAGGATACGCTCCTGGTGTCCTCAGCGCGCGCATGCCATTTTTTTGTCTAGCGCCTTTCCCCTCCCCTATTATTTTACATATTTTAACAGTTTAATTATTAACTTCCCGTAGGGTAAGTTATAGTAATCGCAAAAAAATCGAAAATGAAAATTTTTGCATTTCTCGACGTTTCAAAGGTTTCTGAATATTTTGGCATACCTTAGAAAAAATGGATGTATGTGTGTGTGTGTGTGTGTGTGTGTGTGTGTGTGTGTGCGTGTGTGTATGTATGTGCGGATACAAATTTTCGTCGACGATTTCGGGAACACCGATCAACCGATTTGATTAATTCAAAAAACATTCGATTCGTATTGATAAGGAGACGTGCTGATTAGTTTTTGGCGAAGTCAGGTCTAGCCGTTCCGAAGATACGGGGCAAAAAGTGCCGAAAACGGTAACTCAGTTTTTAAGAGAACGGAGCGTCCGATTTAATAATTCAAAAAACGTTTTACTTGTATTGACAAGGTGAAATACCGATCAAATTTTCATAAAGGCAGGTCTAGCGGTTTCGGAGATCTAATGAAAAAAGTAAAAAAAATGCCATTTGGCGGTCAAAAATGATCATTAGACATATGCACATCAAATTATCAGATATTTTATAGAGATTTTAACAATAAGTATAATTTTGGTTTACATTCCTATGGGTTCCGTACCAATGTTTACGCGTTAGACGTCGACGCGGAGCTTACGCGGTTTGATATTTCGTCTTTATGCAGTTAAAGCAGTACGATTGCTTTGAAAAAAAGTTTAGATCTTTCAAAATATGTCAAAATAAAGAAAACATTTTTTTTCAAAAAAAAAAATTAAAAAAAAAAAATTTAAAAAAAAAATTAAAAAAAAAAATTAAAAAAATTTTTTTTTTCAAAAAAAAGTAATTTTTTGTCTAATTGTTTGTCAAAAATCTTATTTTTTTGAAGTAAATTTTTTTCAAAAATGCTAATCGTTTTTAAAAAAATAATTTTTGGTACGGGAAGTTCCAGCAATTTGCCTTAAGGCACGATGCCTTAATTGCCTTAAGACAGAATTCCACTTACAGCTAGTTAAAATTATTATCATTAATTAATATTTGATTTTTAAAACATTTTACTTATTTACTTTGGGCATTTTATGCGATTTGTTCTATTGAGCAAATCATAGAGAGCAAAAAATTCTAGCTTTCATATTAAACATAATCCTAGCATAACATTGGTACTTCATGTTGGTTTATTTTAATTTAATTTTTTATTATTTAAGATATCCAATATTAAGATATTTGTAGCAATACTCCTCCGAAACGGTTTAACCGATTTTTATGATATTTTTTTTATCAATTTCAGTATGACTTAGAATAGGCCAAAATCTATTTTTAATATCTGTAAGTAGTAAGCGTTGGTCACTCTTAAGATTTGATTTCTGGTTTTGATACCTATTTTTATACTTTGTAATAAAAAAATCACATGCAGCCCTAAATTTTCACCCTTCTACCACAAACTCCTATTTTGTAATAGTCATTTTCAGTAACCGATTAATTTTCATAACCATCAATGATTCAATGAATGTTTCTGAAATAATTTTGTTTCAAATTTTCTTGAACCTATGCAGAACCCTAAATTTATTTTTATCAAGGATTGTCCATGTCTAACACTTTTATTTTCTTTTAGGAATATTTTTTTTTATTTTAACATTTTTAATGCATAATTAAAAAATACAAACCACTCTAAAATTTTACGCTTTACTGAAAATTCATAATTCATAATAGTCGTTTTAGTAGTCCAATCATTTTACATCTAGCTTGATAACTGATAAAAAAATGTGAACGTTTTTTGCTGAATTTTGAACAAGAATTTTCTGAGCTTAAATTTATCCTCTCTGTTCACTGAAATATTTCCAAAACGGAAAGGTTTCCATCAATAAAACTAGATGAGTCAAAATATCGATCAAATTACAACAACTTTTAAAAGGAAACTAGGTATAATGCAAATCAACTTGTATCAATTTGAGAAATATTTACTATGATACATAATGTGTATGAACACAAATTTTAAAGAATATAAAACATTAATTTAATAAAAGTAAATATAAAAATCTAAAAAAATTAATACACAATATGGATGAACACAAATTTTAATTTAGTTAAAAAAATAATTTTAAGTAAATATAAAAATAACAAAAAATAAGTCACAAAATTGATAACTACAAATTTTAATGTATACAAAAAATAATTTCAATAAAAGTAAATATAAAAATAAGAAAAAAATTAAATCATCCGAGCCATTTAACTTCTGAATAGATGTGTAGATCCAACAGCATCATTCCTTGCATTTATTCCTTAGACTGGACGCCGAATGTTATAGAATTTTTGCATTACTAATATATGTATATTTATTATTGAACTACCTCTGAATTTCAATGATTTATGTTTCCTTTATTTTTCTAGGAAAACGAGGAACCCAATTCCTCCGGTCACATGAGCGGAACCAACAGCATGGGAGGCTACGGGGTGCTCACAAATAGCCATCAGGGCTCCTTAACGGATCTGTCACTATTCAGCAGCCCTTCTATGCCTAATATCTCATTAGGAAGGTCTCATATCCCTCACCATTCGCAGGTGTGATAATAACAATATTATTATATTGGTGAAACCTACCGACATAAATGTATGTTTAAGGAAGAAATATGTCAACAATAAAATTGTATTTTCAGTATATAAATAAATAAAAAAATTCTACTGTATACAATTTTATTTAAGAAATATTCATATTATTAGTTGATGTATAAGAAAATATGTATATGTTGAATTTTATTAATGGAATTTATTATTTCTCCTTTAGTCAAGTACAACAGAAGCTGCAGTATTGGCTGCTGTCGCTGCAGCTCGTTTGGGCGCTCCTTTGACAGGCCAGTTGTTATCTGGTGTGCTCCCTTATTATCCAACCTTACCTGTTATTGAAGCAGAACAGCCTCCTGAAGCTGCTGCTCCAGCACCTACACAATTGCCTCACCATCAACAGCAACCTATTACAGACGCACAGGTAAGAGGAATTGTTAGACAATAAATGTAAAAAGATCAATTTTATTTTGAATCATTTTTTATTTTATTTTTTCCTTCAGGTTGCACATCATCATCTAAACAAGTTATCAGGGCACCCTCACACACACCGGCCGCTGGGAAGAACCCAAAGCGCACCTTTGCCTCTGGGGCATCCGATGCTTCAGGGGAATCCCACAAGAATGCCTCAGGCTCCTGCGCCACCTCAGCCTGCGAGCCATGGACCCTATAACACCCAGGCAAGGAATCATGATAAGAAATAACATGACAACTCTGATAAATCATATATAAAGATATAATAGATATATTTTATGTTATAAATCTATCCTTTTATAGATGGACCACACGTTGTTGAAGCAGCATATCCGGCAAACAGTTCTTACACGGGCTGCTGGTATTCAACAGCAGCAACAGCAACAGATGATGTTGAATCAGCAACAACAGCAATTGCAAAAGCAGCTGTCTAGCAGTAATAGTAGCGAATCGGAGATCATTGATTTGACTGAGAAGAGTAGACGAGCCAGGTTAAGGGATGAAGATGCTGAAATGGTTAATGCCCAGGTAATAAGAATAAACTAACAAATATACTAAACTACTTAAATTTTGCTCTTATATATACTTTTACAATAACAATCATAAATTACATCAATTACTATTAAATACGATCTTAACACCCAAGGAGTGAATTTTTTGGTTCATAAAAGTTTACCAAGTCCTCTTATAACAGGTATGATTTTTTTTTTTTAGGATACTCATTCGGCTCTCAGGCCGCGACCTGATCCAACCAGGCCTTTGTCCAGAACACTATCTAGTCCACTGGTGCACGTTGGACGAGGTTCTCGGTCACCAGAACCATTAGAACCACGAGAATCGCAAGAAGCACCTTATTCTGCACCAACTACTGGTTTGGCATATGATAGTATTATGCTGAAACATGCTTGCAGGTAATAAAGGAACACAATAAATATAATTTATACATAATATAAATATAAATATTGGCAAAAGAAGTAATTGATGTGGTATTTTTAATACTAAGTAGGGATTTTTTAATATCCTGGTTAATGTTTTCATCCAGTATCTTGTTTGGTGAGTTTTATATCAGAATAGTTTCATGTTTTAACGATTTGTACGTTGTTATATCTAAAATTCTAATACAAATTCTAACAAAATAATTTTAGAATTCTTTCATAAGCTAGGTCAAATTTTTATATTGCTATTTATATACGATTTTTTTTCGTAGATGTGGAGATAATAGCAGACATCCAGAACATGGTGGTCGATTGCAAAGTGTTTGGGCACGACTGCTTGAAACAGGGTTGGCCGCCAGATGTTCTCGTCTAAGAGCTCGCAAGGCTACACTTGATGAACTCAGACTTTGTCATACAGAAGCACATACATTGATGTTTGGTAATTATAAATATGTATATATATATATATATATATATATATATATATATATACTAGATGACCCGACAGACGTTGTCCTGTATTGACGTCTGCAATTCAAAAGTTCCACTTTTTTTAATATCCTATCCTAAACTTTTTAATATCCTATTTGATGTCCTGCCTTTGTGATTCATTTATTGTCTTAGCGTTAGCAGTATAAGAAATTCAGAAAAAAATAATATACATAGTATCTGCGGTTAAAGAACAATATCACACTTGATTTTACCACACAACATAATTGCTTCAATAATTTAGTCGATAATTTTCATAATCTAGTATGAAATATTAGTTGCTCTTTGGCAATTTTAATTTCTAAAGAGCATTTTTCTTACTAATAATTTAATAAACATTATTGTTTATGTTCAAATCTTAGGGGAATTAATTTGTAAAATCTAGTTCATATGTGCACTATTCAATCTAAGATCAACTTGCTAAATATTGCATATCCGATGCCAAACAGGATGAATTTTGGATACATATAAAACTAGTGGTGCATGGCATCGTTCCTTAACGCAAATTGCAGGAACTTTCCGTACCTGAATTATATATTCGAGGGAAAAAAATCAGTAATCAATAAATATTGATCAATGATTTACAACAATTGTTTTATACATTTTCAAATAGATAATTATAATCACTATATATTTTATTGTTCATAAAATATACAGTACGGATCTTACCGCTTAAAGCACTTGAGAAAGTTTACATTAGCAAGAGGTGCCAAATAAATCCATCTGAGGATATATTTCTTACGATTAGAATAACGCATTTGAAATGTTTACATTTTTATATTGGTTTGTAAATTTAAAATTCGTATTTGAAGTATAAAACTTTCTATATTTTTGAAAATTTTGAAAAAAAAAAGTTTTCTGAAAATTTCTAATTTGCTTGAAGCGTATGAGTAAATTTTAAAAATTAACAATCTTGGTTCGGAACCCAACAAAATTGCAACAAAAAAAATTGTACTCAATTTTAAAAACTTTATCACATATCTGATAATTTGATGTGCTTACGTTAACGATCATTTTTGATCGCCAAATATCCTTGTACTTTGTACCTTGTACCTTGTTTTTTATAAGCATGCCAAATGTTCAGAAAACACTGAATCGTGAAGATATGCAAAAAATTTCATTTTCGTTGTTTTTGCGATTACTACATCTTACCCTACTTATTAAGTAGAAATATTTTATTGTATTGTTAAATAATTTAGTAAAGTAAATCAAAATGCGACATGCATAAGTTTAAAAAAATAATGTATATGCAATTTTGGACTTCTATAAACTGAATTATATAATTTTATCTGCCAAACATATACTGTTGACTGTATCTTATATTATTTTAATTTCTGGCACATCTCAGCTGCTTTTTGGCAAATTTTGACATTACATTTTTCTTGTATATTATAATCTAATATTATCTAGGCTCAAAATTCAAATTTTAAGTGAATTGACATTTCTGGCAAATGTTTTCAATGTCAAACAATGATAAGTGGTTTTTTGTAATTTTTGCCATTTATTTCTTCAATATTACTATAGTTTTATCGTTCATTAAATCTTTAAAAAATCCTTTGACAAACTCTAAAAAGATTTATTGAAATCCGAATAACCGTTTAGGAGAAGTATCAAATCATACACCTGTACAGAAGAATTTTATATATAAGATAAAAATGCCTGGCTAGAAATCAGCCTGATTTATAAAACTATTTCTATTTATGACTATTAATTATTTTTTCCTAGGCACTAGTCCATTTTCTCGGCACAACAGGCCGGAACAAATAGGAAGCACTGTCAGTGGAGCTTCTACAGGGGGCAATGGTGCCAATAGTAGTCCTGGTGCAGGAACACCTGTTTCCTTGGTTCGATTGAGGTGTGGAGGCGTCGGTGCAGATCCGGACTCGTTCTGGAGCGATGCGCATACGGGCCCTGCTGCTAGAACAGCAGCCGGATGCGTAATTGATCTAGCTCATAAGGTAAAATTGATATAACTCTTTTACAATATATTGTCTTGTGTATTGGTAATATTTTTTTTCAATTATTTTTAGACATGGTTGGGTGAAACCAAGAACGGTTTTGCGGTTGTTAGACCTCCAGGACACCATGCTGAACCTGATTTGGCAATGGGTTTCTGTTTCTTCAATTCAGTGGCTATCGCTGCAGAGTGCCTCAAGAGACGGTGCGACTTACAACGTATACTCATCGTCGATTGGGTAAAAAATTGAACATATAGTAATATATATATATATATATATATATATATATATATATATATATATATATATAGAATTTTATGATATGAGTGGAACGAATATTAATTGTTTAATATGAACAAAACAGCACTCAGATTTGTTTAACACAACTTTATTTTATGATTACAGACGTTTCGAGACCATGGTGTGTCTCATCTTCAGTGTAATTTCAAAAACAGTTACTTATATACTACACATTCTTTAATAATTTATTTAAATTTCATTTAATTTTTTGGTATACAAAAAACACCAACTATTCCTTGCAATGCTTGACACAGTACTAAAGAAACATACTCGTATAACACTTACAGAAATATTCTAAACAAATCTGAAGTACTTATATAGATGGAGACAGAGAGGGTATCATTATAATGTAAACAAAAGGAGTGCTATCGCATACAAAATCGATAAAAATGAAAAAACAAATTAATTTATTGAAAAGAATAAGATAAATGAAAAAATTTATAAATTATTAATGATGTTTATATAAGTGTCATGTAAAATATTTGTGTCGGTTCTTAGATTTATGCTATTGTTAGTCCGAACTATTAACATTGATTCTGCCATGCTCCGTTTAAATAAGTCTTTCTCATGGAATAAAATTTGGGGATTGTCAAAATCAAACTTATGGTTGTTGATATTAGCATGATCCACAAGTGTACTTTTAAATTTTTTGTTATCTATTTTTTCACATTGTAATTCATGTTGCCTGAGTCTCTTTTCTAAGTTCTGGCAGGTCTGGCCAATATAAGAGCAATTACAATCCAAACAATTTACTTTATAAACTATATCTTTCTTTTTTGTTAATGGAGTTTCATCTTTAATTTTGGAATATAAAAATTTTAATTGTTTTAATGGAGAAAAAGTAATACGAATATTATGTTTTTTGAAAAGTCTTTTTGATAATTGGTTAAAATTATTGTCAAGATATGGAAAATTAATGAAAAAAGTTTTTTCAGGAACACTTGTTTTGCCAGGCTCTTCCGGTTTCTTATCAAAAGGTTCAAGTAATTTTGCGACTCTATTTTTAATAATTGGACAAATTAACTTATATGGAAAATTATTGCCAAGTAGGATCGTTTTAACTAATTTTATGTTTGTATCATAAAACAGGGGATCAGATAATAAAATAGCGTGATCTACAAGATTTAGAATGGTAGAAATTTTTATATTGAGAGGAACATGTGAATTAAAATTAATGTATCTCCCGGACCAACTATCTTTTCTGTACCAGTCTGTATAACATACACCGCCTCTATTAATGAGTTTTACGTCAAGAAAATGTAACGTCGAATCATTTTCAAGTTCCTGAGTGAATTGTAAAAAAGAATTGTACTCATTGAATTTGTTGAAAACATTATCTATATCTTTTTTATTAAGTAATATTAATGTGTCATCGACATATCTGAAATAGACCATAGGTTTGGAAGGTAAAGAATTTAAGACATGATTTTCCAAATCTAAAACATGATTTTCCAAATTTAAGACATGATTTTCCAAATTCTTTACCTTCCAAACCTATGGTCTATTTCAGATATGTCGATGACACATTAATATTACTTAATAAAAAAGATATAGATAATGTTTTCAACAAATTCAATGAGTACAATTCTTTTTTACAATTCACTCAGGAACTTGAAAATGATTCGACGTTACATTTTCTTGACGTAAAACTCATTAATAGAGGCGGTGTATGTTATACAGACTGGTACAGAAAAGATAGTTGGTCCGGGAGATACATTAATTTTAATTCACATGTTCCTCTCAATATAAAAATTTCTACCATTCTAAATCTTGTAGATCACGCTATTTTATTATCTGATCCCCTGTTTTATGATACAAACATAAAATTAGTTAAAACGATCCTACTTGGCAATAATTTTCCATATAAGTTAATTTGTCCAATTATTAAAAATAGAGTCGCAAAATTACTTGAACCTTTTGATAAGAAACCGGAAGAGCCTGGCAAAACAAGTGTTCCTGAAAAAACTTTTTTCATTAATTTTCCATATCTTGACAATAATTTTAACCAATTATCAAAAAGACTTTTCAAAAAACATAATATTCGTATTACTTTTTCTCCATTAAAACAATTAAAATTTTTATATTCCAAAATTAAAGATGAAACTCCATTAACAAAAAAGAAAGATATAGTTTATAAAGTAAATTGTTTGGATTGTAATTGCTCTTATATTGGCCAGACCTGCCAGAACTTAGAAAAGAGACTCAGGCAACATGAATTACAATGTGAAAAAATAGATAACAAAAAATTTAAAAGTACACTTGTGGATCATGCTAATATCAACAACCATAAGTTTGATTTTGACAATCCCCAAATTTTATTCCATGAGAAAGACTTATTTAAACGGAGCATGGCAGAATCAATGTTAATAGTTCGGACTAACAATAGCATAAATCTAAGAACCGACACAAATATTTTACATGACACTTATATAAACATCATTAATAATTTATAAATTTTTTCATTTATCTTATTCTTTTCAATAAATTAATTTGTTTTTTCATTTTTATCGATTTTGTATGCGATAGCACTCCTTTTGTTTACATTATAATGATACCCTCTCTGTCTCCATCTATATAAGTACTTCAGATTTGTTTAGAATATTTCTGTAAGTGTTATACGAGTATGTTTCTTTAGTACTGTGTCAAGCATTGCAAGGAATAGTTGGTGTTTTTTGTATACCAAAAAATTAAATGAAATTTAAATAAATTATTAAAGAATGTGTAGTATATAAGTAACTGTTTTTGAAATTACACTGAAGATGAGACACACCATGGTCTCGAAACGTCTGTAATCATAAAATAAAGTTGTGTTAAACAAATCTGAGTGCTGTTTTGTTCATATTAAACAATTAATATATATATATATATATATATATATATATATACGAGTATATATATAAGCTGAACCAGAAAACGTTGTTTTGCTAAGTAAGGTATTATCTAAACAATTTCTAGAGAATTAAAAAAATTAATACTTTAAGTGTATAAGGATGTGTTGTTTGAATGCCATATACAAAGAGGTATTATAAAAACAATAAACCCCATAAGTTTGTCTACATTTTGTCAATACAATCAAACTGAAAGTTTTATACATTTTCTATTGAAAACATGGTATAATCCAATCCAAGTCTTTTCTGGTCTTTCAACTTATTGATTACGTTTAAAATTTTTCAGATTATTTTTGGATTCTGGATTTTGTGTATAATTGTAAATAATACTACTGAGCTTATACAAAATTATCAATTTTCTGCGAGGAGAGATGGAAAATGAATTAACTATTTCTTCTTTGACCTGCTTTTTTAAAAGTTTCAACTAACATTCGATGAATTAAAGTAAATTTAATGAATAGTATATATATAGAGCAGGGCGAGGCACAAAAGTCCAATTGATTTTGAGCAAATATTAATTATATTATAAAAATCAAACCAATTATATCACGATAAATAACGCATTTCAAACGAACAATTATCTGACTATGTTCAGTAAAACTGTCATCATTGTAGAAATGTGCTTTTTTGCTGTTTTTCAAAAATTTGTTATCTAGACCTTTATACCCTATAAGCGGAGTAACTTGGAACGGCCAGGTGGCAAACAGGTTTAATGTCTTATTTTAATTTTAAAGGCATTTTTTAAAATAATTACACTTTTAACACAACTAATGCTAAAAAACTACCAACGGAAGAAAATACTTTTACTATGGATTTTCAAAGATTACCTTTTATCTCTCGATAGCAAAGTCATGAGAACAACAAATGAGATCTTTCAGAGCACCGTGTTTGAGAAAAATATGAATGGAGTGCTACGACGCTAAAAAGTGCATTTTTATATTAAAATTTCAAAAAAGTTGATGTTTTGAGTTTCTAGTAACACTTGCGATCCGTTTAATAACGTTTTTGTATATAAATATAACTACAAACAAAACTACTTACTACAATTTAATCATAATTAAATAATATTCACTTTAAACATCTATCCTATTAAACGTAATTGAACATCATCTGTCAAAAACGTTTGACATTTGACGTATTAGCCACCGTCTATTGTTTTATTCAAATTATGCTTCTACAAAAAATTTTAAATTAAAAATGTAAAGTTTTATGCGATTTTTAAATAATATCTCACCTTTTGGACAGTCTCTGGATTGACACGAATTTTTCAAGACTAAGACTGGCTAAATCGGTTTAGCCGTTTTCGAGTTTTACCGAATCATTTGATCGAAAGCTCCATTTTTATATATAAGATATATATATATATATATATATATATATATATAAATAATGTGTTATTTTTAAGAATTTATCATAATGAAATAATTTCTTATTAGGATGTGCATCATGGGAATGGTACACAGCAAATGTTTTACGACGATCGCAGAGTTCTCTACATTTCCATACATCGTCATGATGATGGTAACTTCTTTCCGGGAACTGGAGGTCCAACGGAGGTAAACATATATTGTAGATTGCTTGAATGAATGTTGTATAGGATGATTATATTTAATTTTTTTTAATTTTCAGTGCGGTGCCGGCGAAGGCGTAGGTTTCAATGTGAATATTGCCTGGTCAGGAGGTATCGATCCGCCTCTTTCTGATGCGGAATATTTGGCTGCATTCAGGACAGTCGTAATGCCTATTGCGAAGGTAAATATATATATATATATATATATATATATATACTAGATGACCCGGCAGACGTTGTCCTGTACCCACGCTTACAATTTTTTAGTATCCCATACTAATATTTACTACTAATTATTGTTTTTTAAATTACTCTTCACACAAAAATGCATATATATCAATGATCGATGTTAAATGTAGAGTTGCTTTAAATAAAATGATGAGTCTCAATTCCCACACTATATTGGACATTGAAGTCTTTTTAATGTATAACAAATTCAGATAAAAGTAAATATGTATAAGTGCAATATTACCTTGGATTTTTCCACCCAAAATAATTGCTCCAATAATGTTGCCTATAATTTTTATAATCTCATCATATTTTAACTGGTTTTTAGTAATTTGAATATCAAAATTACATTTTTCTTAGTAATAATTTAATATACATTATTACCAGGGGCGTTCTTGGAGTCCTCAGCGCCCGCATGCCATTTTTTTCTAGCTCTATTATTTTACCTGTTTTAACAGTCCATTATTAAAATTATTATCATTAATTAATATTTGGCTTTTGAAACATTTTACTTAATTATTTTGGGCATTTCATGCGATTTATTCTATTGAGCAAATCATAGAGATCAAAAAAAATTTAATTTAAAAGATATCCAAAAATGTATGTATTCATCTTTACTTTCCCATTTGTTGTTTTAAAGTGAAATTTTTAACGCATTTTATATATATTGTGCAAAGATTAGTAAAAGATGTGTAGAAATTATATAGTTCTTGAATTATATTGCAAAAAAAATACTATATTGAAAATTTTATATGCGTCGCATTCAAGGTAGGACCGGCTCTGATTATTAATTAATTTCATATATTAAGTGATTAATTTGTCAAATCCTGTTCATATGTGTATCACTCAATCTGCCATACATATACTGACTCTTATATTATTTTAATTTCTGGCACATCTCAGCTGTCTTTCGGCAATAATAATGTAGACATTTCATTTTTCTTAGTCATTTTCGTGAATTTATTATACATATTCTAATATTGTCTAGACTCATAAGTAAATTGAAATTTTTGACAGATGACGGTTTTCATTTGTTTTCAATGCCAAACAACGTCTCAAATATTTTCAATATCAAACAATGACATGTTGTTTTTAGCATTTTTTTTCTTTTATTTTTACAATATTACTGTATTTTTATAATCACATACATTCTGAAAAATTCCCTTAACAAACTTCAGTAAGATTTATCAAAATCCGAATAATCGTTTAGGAGGAGTATATTTACATACATTATTACAGACGAATTATATATATATATATATATATATATATATATATATATATGATATATACGCTTTTGCTTGAGTTGAAACGTTAAAAGTTTCGTTCAAGTTGGATTTGCTTCAGTAATGCAAAAGTCCAGAAATATAAATATCCTTGCGAAATTGATAAATTGTTCACATTTTACTTTTTCTTTAATGAGTGCTGTCAACAGTTGCATTTTAAATACATATATTAATATTTTGAAATGAGATGGTGTGTTTGTTGGATCACTTCTGTGATTATGGGAGGTTGGTTGGTAGCTGGAGCTGAGCTGTTGATAATATAGAAACACTGGTTCTTGTTTGATGTTGATATTTTTATTGTTGACTATTTCCTTTTACAATTAAATAATTGGTTTGATAACCCTTTCGTTATTGATATGCAGAGACTACATTTTTCTATGTAACTAAGCACTAAGCCTGACTGCAAGTTGTCCTGACTCCAAGTCTGGCTTCTGATTTGACTCCTGACTTCTCCCTGAATAACTAAATCCTAACTCCTTATATACTAAATAATTGTACACAAAACTTGATTCTGAAATCTAACAGCAAGGACGGAAGAACTTTGCTTTAACAAAAACAATAAATAATAAATTGTATTTGTAATTACAGAATAATTTATTGGTACTACCTGCTCATAAAAGTATCCAAATTGTTGCATATATCATAGTTTTCAAATTATGTAATGTGTTTCCCATTATAATACTACATTGATTGTATCTAATTTTCAATAAATTATAATGATGTTTTTGTAATTTCTACATATCTTTGATTTCTTCCAAAGGAATTCAATCCGGAACTGATACTTGTATCATGTGGATTTGATGCCTCGGTTGGTCATCCGGCTCCACTTGGAGGATACCAGGTCAGCGCTGCTTGCTTTGGAGAGATGACCAGACAATTGATGACATTGGCTAATGGAAAAGTAAGTCTTGTATCATTTATTAGAAATAAAAAATTCTTTGGTACAAAATAATCGACTTCATGATACCGATTCTGCCGCATAACAGAAAAATGTTATGGCAAGGCTATGTTATGAAGAGCTTTCCATACTAAATATTGACATAAGCCATGTGGTTGCTGTGCAGTCAGGCGTTTTTTCAGGTTGTCAGATAGAAAACCTAACCCAGAAACCGCACAAATGTCAAGAAAAACGATGTTGGATAAGAGGGTATTTCTGACACAGCTTCATAACATACGAGTGACGTTGCAGTTTATGTGTAAAACGCCTGAATGCACATCAGATACATGACATTTTGACAGTTTCAGTATGATTCAGTAACATAATGTATGGAAGTTGGAGCGTGACATGGCCTTGCCGTAACATTGGTCTGTTGCGAGGCAGAATCGGGCAAAGCATTCTTCATATTTGATGGATAAGCGATAGTAAAGATAATTACTAATCAAGAAGTTTGTTCTATTGCTTTTGTTGGAGAAAAAAAATTCAATTTTATACAATATAAAATGTACAATATTGAATATATTTTCCTTTTCCCAGGTGGTGCTTTCCCTAGAAGGCGGTTACGATCTACCAGCCATCTGTGACAGCGCCCAGGCCTGCGTCAGCGCCTTGTTGGGAGACGAAGTTGATGATTCATCATCAGTTTCTGCTGCTTCAGCAAACATCTCGAATAATCTACACAGGACAACGTGCGGAATTGGCAGAGTTAGTGATGCAGAATTGGCCAGACCGCCTTGTCAGAATGCTATCGATACTCTGCAGAAAACTATTGCTATACAGGTAAATAGTAAAAAAACTATAACATATCATCATTATCATCTTCATCAAAGATTTATCGCAACAAGGCTCAATATTTTTTAGAAATAAAATAAAATCAAGTTATTGAAATGTAAGCTTTAGTAGTAAGAGAATTTTTAATCAGATTTCCTACCATCCACCAATAAAATCAGAAATTTTGTAGTGCTTCCTTTTACTATATGATTAAATTTATTGAATGTTCTTATTTTTTCCTCAGCTTTCCCATTGGCCTTGTGTAAAGCGAAATGCCCACATGGTATCCATGTGCCATGCCCAAGCCCTTCAACTTCTTGCAGCCGAAGGAGCACCACCATTGACTATCAGGATGATTGAGACTAAAGAAATGGTAGAAGACTCGGAGACAGTCACAGCCATGGCAGGGCTCTCTATGAGGAACACACAAATGAACAGGTATGTGGAACATCATCATATTTGATAATACAGTAGAACTATCTAGACTATTATCGATTATCCGAATCACTTTCAGAAAAAAAAAGTCCAGAAACAGCTTACATTGACGGAGATGTTTAAAAAACAATGATTTTTATTTCTAAACTTGTACATAAGTACATTTTATTCATATTTAAAACATGTGAAAATGTCATGTTTCTTTCATTTAATTCAATAAAAAAAATAGTGCAATATCAAAACGTAACTTTTTTTCTCTCCAATGGCAATTTAAAAAAAAAAACTCCGATTATCCGAATATTTGATTATCCGAATGGGTTCCGGTCCCCATTAATTCGGATAATTGGAGTTCTACTGTAGATATATACTTATTCAAACAGCAAGATTCAATCCTTAAATATTTTTCAAATTATTTTGTTATTTTTGATAATAATCGAACTATCCAGCAAATAGAACATGGAATGACAATTTAATTGGAATTTTTAAAGATTGCAACTTTTCGTCGTTGAACCTAACTTCTTTCGTTTTTTTTTCATTCTTTAAAAAAAAGCAAAATAGTCTTAAATTTTAATCACTGCCCATTGTTAATATTTTTGACATCTTTAAGGTAAACATATTTACTAAATTTTTAATGAAACTGTCAATTACTGTATATTTAAAATTAGAATTAAACATTAATGGGCCAATTCTGTCGTAACAGAGTTCATAAAATAGCGTTGTCATGGCAACGCTCTCTTATGCTTATTCTTGGTATTGAAAATTCTAGATGGTACAGTTATAATAACATTATCCCTTGCTATTTTATATGTAAAATACGCCTGGTCGCACGGCAAATAGATAGACAATTTCGTAATTTTCAATACCAAAAACAAGCATAAGAGAGCGTTGCCATGACAACGATATTTTATGAGCTGTATTATGGTAGAATTGCCCCATATATTACTTCATGGTCTTTTAGCAGAATCTTTAAAAACAATGTTGAATTAAGAAATAATATATGTAAAGGATCAACTTTCCTAAAACTATTTTTATGATATATTTTTTGTTTAATTTAAATTCAAACAAATGAATTTTATTTTTAGTCTAAAAATTATCGATTTGGTCGAATTTGAATTGATTCGAATGAAGTAAAATATCGGCAATTCGATTCAAATTGTTCATTCAAGTTGATTCGAATGAAATGTAATTTTTTTAAAATAAAAAATTAACTTAAAAATTTCTTTGAGTAGAATTAAAGATATCATTAAAGATTTTGTCTAAGATTTGGTCGAATTTGGATTGATTCGAATGAAGTGAAAAATCGACGATTCGAATCGAATTGTCCATTCAAGTTGATTCGAATGAAATGTATTTTTTAAATAAAAAATAAACTCAAAAATTTTGTTTGAGTAGAATCAAAGATATCACGTGACAACACGATTTCGGCCCGCCATTTTGAATGATTGGCCAATGGCCAATGACAAATCAGTATTTGTGGCGTAACGCGTTTCCGTTGCATTTGCGTTTACCACTAGTTGAAGAAGTTTTACTTTAATAACCAAATTATTACAGATTTGAATCGACAAATGGCTTCTAATATAATTTTTGTAATTTTTGCTTACTTTATATATAAAATTTTAATTTTATTTTAAAAAAAATGTACAACTTATATTGATCTTAGGACTTCGGATCGATCCAGAAGTGTTTCGGACGAGCCGATGGAGCAAGATGAAACAAAATAATAAAATCAATAAATAATTAAAATTATTGATCACTAATAAAAATCTTCATCCTTAAATCTGTAAGGATTAAGTCAACACTAAAGGAGGAACTTGAATGTTAAACTGTGTTAAATGTTAGAACTAAAACGTGTCATAGATTTAAAATAATCTAGATATAATGTGCAAGAGGTTAATTAATTAAAATTAAAAACAAAAACGTACGTGATTTAATATTTTTTAATTTTATGCCATTGACTGACGAATATAAGAAATCATATTTAATAAAAAGTGTAACGAATATAATAGCACATTTATAATTAATTATATAAATATTGTTGACAATTTCATATATAGATATATTATATTGTTATATAGCCGATGATTATTGTTAGTATATAGATCTGCAACCCCTAGGTACTGAAATTACGATAAACCTTTTATAACGCGGTACTGATATAACGCGGTACTCCTATAGCGCGGTTTCTGTTCAACAGCCTATAAGTTCTGCTTGAATTTTTTTATTGCAAATCAGTTTTTTACTTTGAATTTTGTCTTATATTTCATCGCATCTTTATATAAACATCAATAAAAATGATTTGTAATTTCCATCATGAATTTTTCTGTTCTATTAAAATAATTTATATTTTTCTCATCATATAGTATCAGAAACTTTTCACTTCAACAAAAAACTATGTATAATTTATCATCTCTTATATTTATTTGTTTCCATATAACGCGGTAGTCGGTTTCCTCATAACGCGCTACGAACTATTCTGGTTTGTACGTTAAATCTAAGTTTCTTTTAGGGCGATTTTTATATTACGCTGTATAAGCATAAAGCGTTATAAGAGGGTTGAATTTCAAGTCGACAAAGAGTGAATTACTAACAAACAATTTAAGAAAAATTTAGAAATATCGATGCGATTTTTATCAAAAGTGTTTAAAATTATTTTATTCAGTATTTTAAATGAATATTAATTAATTATTTAGACAATGTCAAATTTTAATGTTTAATTTCAGTGTTTAAATTTTAAATTGTCAATTTTAAATCGTTATTTAATTACATATATAAAATTCAAAACTTATATAAAATATACAGAATATGAATTTTATTATTCAAATGTTCTATCATAATTTTGAATTAATCTTTAATTATTCAAAATTTTAATTGTTATTAACATTATTTTGAAAAAAAAAAATCAAATCGTTTGTATTTAAATACTAATGACATTGTGCTGTTTTAGATTTTGTTAAATATATTTCTTAAAATAGACTTCTGTTTTTGCCAGAAAGTTAATTTTTTGAACAAGATTTAATTTAATTCTTTTTTAAATTAACATTTGTTATAAATCATCACCTTGGTGATATATTTTCTCTAATTGTTTAAAACCGTGTTATAATAATAATTACTCAGAAAGCAAGAAAAGTACCGAAATTTTGAATCTGATATTTTAATTAGATATATTACTTTAACATAAACTTTAAAATAACAAAATTACTTCATTGTGGTTAAAGATAAATTCAACTCCTTGCTGTTTTTTTTTTTTTAAATTTTGAATAACTTGTACAATTTAAAAATTAATCATTCACATTATTTTTTTAACTGATTGGATTTATATTTTTTTAAATAATTAATTCATCTTGTTAACAGATTTTTGCTTATCTGTGCTAAGAAAAGTAATTGTTAATAATATTTTTAATTTAATAATAATTATTACTCCACTGGTTAAATTATTTCCTCTAGTACAAATTTGTGTTTCTAAAACGCTTTCAGTAGTTTTAGTTTTGAAAGCATTTTTTACTATGGCTAAAAAATAATTACTATTATCAATTATAAGTTTCGTTATAAGTCTTAATAAAATAATTAATGAGATTGCCATAGCATGACATATAATATTTTTTTAAAAAAAACTTTCAAGTCGAAGATATTTATTAGACACAAAAAGAGTATTTCGATTGTAATATTATTTTTTATATTTCTTGTTGGATAATGACATATTTTCTCTAATTGTTTAAAACCGTGTTATAATAATAATTACTCAGAAAGCAAGAAAAGTACCGAAGTTGTGAATCTGATATTTTAATTAGATATATTACTTTAACATAAACTTCAAAATAAAAAAATACTTCATTGGGGTTAAAGATAAATTCAACTCTCCTTGCTGTGTTTTTTTTTTAATTTTGAATAACTTGTACAATTTAAAAATTAATCATTCCACTTATTTTTAACTGATTGGATTTATATTTTTTTAAATAATTAATTCATCTTGTTAACAGATTTTTGCTTATCTGTGCTAAGAAAAGTAATTGTTAATAATATTTTTAATTTAATAATAATTATTACTCCACTGGTTAAATTATTTCCTCTAGTACAAATTTGTGTTTCTAAAACGCTTTCAGTAGTTTTAGTTTTGAAAGCATTTTTTTTACTATGGCTAAAAAATAATTACTATTATCAATTATAAGTTTCGTTATAAGTCTTAATAAAATAATTAATGAGATTGCCATAGCATGACATATAATTTTTTTTAAAAAAACTTTCAAGTCGAAGATATTTATTATAAGAACAAAAAAGAGTATTTCGATTGTAATATTATTTTTTATATTTCTTGTTGGATAATGACTGTATGATATGATATTTCTATGAAATGTATGGTATACATTTTATTTATATATGTGTAAATTGTAATAATAATAATAATAATATTAATTAAATAAGCCTTGACAAAGCTTTTATAATGACTAGGACAATGTCATGAAAATGTTGAAATTGAAATATATTTATAAACTTTAACATTCCTTTGATCAGAAAATGTATTGTTATAGAAATACACATATATAATTATATATGTATATATATATATATATATATCTTTATATATATATATATATATATACTAGACAGCTGATAATTTTATAATTTTTAAAAATTTTTTTTTTTTTTTTAATTTTTGAAATGACAGGCCAAAAAAATAAAATTTAATATATACAATTGTAAACAAAATCATTTTTATATAGACATTCATACAATTATTAATTTGAGAAAACTAAAAGTAAACAGAAACTTTTGTATTCATGAACTTTATTTTTATTATAAAATATAAGATAAAACCTTTTTTGTAACAAAAAACAAACTAAATTGTAAGCTGTCAATAATTATATTATATATTTTTATATATATATATATATATATATATATATATATATATGTACAAAGTCATTTATTTATATATGTGTATTTATATAAGAGTAATACATGAGTGTGTGCGATAATGTTATGAAACAAATTAAATGTTTTTGATCGTTTTATGAAAACGATATTTGTGTTATGTCAATACAGAAGAATATATATATTATAGTTGTATATATTTATAATTAAAATCAAAAGATGTTATTTTTTTTAGTTTATACATATATAAAAATTGTTTTTAGTGTACATATATAATTTAAAACATTGTATTGTATTGTATCGATGCATGTGAAACTGTATATGCATTAGTAGATTCATATAATATTATTTTCACAGGCTCAAAGTAATTGTAATTTTTTCATACAAATGGATAAAGGAATTATATATAAATAAATAAATATATATATATATATATATATATATATAGGGGTAGTCATTAATATGGATGTTTTCAAATTTCTTTGCTCTTAGGGGCTCACATGCTTCTAAATTGATAAAAAGCGAAGAAATTTGAAAATATTCAAATAAAGAATCACCCTATATATATACAAAATATATATATATATATTAAGATTAGAGTAACTATTCAAAAAATGCTGAAGACAAACCATATACAATCTTGGTAAGTTCAAAGTTATTTTTTTCTATCTAAAGCAGTGAAGTTTATCGATTTGAATATTAAGTGTCCAAATCAATCTTCAAAAAGAATCTTTAAATTTTATTTAATATAATTTTTCTTACTATATTTAATATATCAACTTTCATTATGAATTTCTTCTATGCATTTGTGTGGATTATAATTACATGTATAATTTTTGTTAGAATTGTTGAATGTGCAATGGATATATAAATATATAAATAAATATATAATAGATAGAAATTATTTAATGTTAATCATACAAATATAGATATATTATACTGAATATTATAATAAATTTGCTGTACAAAAAAAAAACAAAAAAATACTAAGAAAACACATGTGGATGTGTATATACATGAATATATATTATATTTGGAGTAAAAAATAATCTAGCATTTTATTATATATATATTTGTTTCAGGAACCCATACAGCTAATAAAATAGAACTATTATATATTTCTTTAAATAAACGTTTCGACATCCAATTTGAACCTTCTTTAGGTGAAACAAAACATAGACAAATTATTAAGGTTGAAATAAAAACATGATCGATGAAAATATTACTTCACAAAAACCATTTTAGTGAATATATAATATATATATATATATATATATATATATATATATATTTATAGATATATATCAAAACCAACCAATATATGTATCAAAAACCTCTCGCTTTATATATTTATATATATATATAATATATATATATATATATATATTGTTGTGCCATTTTTTATTTGATCAGTAATACATTTGTTAGTTTACCAGTTAGCCGGGAGAAAAATAAATTAAATTAAATAGTAATTAAATTTCAACATTAGTCTATATGAAATGTTTAAAAAAATCCGTAGATAGTTATCCATGAATTTAACTTGGTTCATATTCATATTATTATCACTAGTAGTAAAACAAGACACAATATTAATCCCAGTATTACTGTTTATTATTATTTATATCCAACTGTTACTTTACTGTTTGACGTCTCGGTCGGTGGCGTCATCTAACACAGAACTATATGAACCCGGTAGTCACTACGTAGTTCCCCGAGAACTGGGAACAATTTTGCATAGAGGCGCTGCATGCAATCGCCTTAGAAACATAGGAATCGTAGTGGATTCCCATTGGATTCCTTTATTCACTATTAGGTATATAATTATAAGTCTCGGTTTTGAAGGAATATCAATATATACATGTATATATCGCTTTATACGCCATTATAAATATAATTATGGTCCCGGTTTAGAAGGAATATCAATATATACATTTATATATCACTTTATACGCCATTAGATATATAATTATGAGCTCGGTTTTGAAGGAATATCAATATATACATTTATATATCGCTTAATATGCCATTATAAATATAATTATTTATTTATTTATTTATTTATTTATATATTTATTTATTTATTTATTTATTTATTTATTTATTTATTTATTTATTTATTTATTTTATTTATACGCCAATCGGCTTTATATAGTTTTATAATATTGTTT